TGTTCCTGGGGCCCACACATGGAGCATTGCATGCTGCGTGGGCCGCACATAGCACACTGTGCTTTTCCTTTTTAACGTGGAATTCTGCAAAAGAAGCCCACAGGCAAGAGCCTTACCTCTGCCTTGCAGGTTCTTGCTATGTCAGCTGGAGTACTTGCACATGTTTTGAAATCATAAACACATAAAAGGTCACTGTTGGTACTAAGTGCCACCTGGGACTCAAACGCTGAAACAGCAAAGTCAGCCACACTGAAAACACCTGGCTGGACAGTCCTTCCTCCACAGCTTGGTGGAACTCGGCTCCAAAGCTAACCTGTTGTTCTGAGCACTGAAGAGTGCGGGGTCCTCCCTGACTCACTCTGTGGGGCAGGCCACAAGGAAACAGTGAGCTGTAGCCACAATCACTTAGTGGACACAGATGAAAAGGTTCCCAACTAAGATAGCAAACCACACAAACAGCACGGGAAACGCATCCCCATGACTGGGCGAGCCCTCCCTGTGGACGCTGGGACAGCTCTGCATTCCCACATGGTCAGAGGGACACGCAGCCCTGCCAGAGTGCTGGTAAGTAGTGCTCGGCCCAGAAAACACTCAGTAAATTTCACAGGCATGCATGGTCAAAACCTGAACCAACCAGGCATGGAAGTAGCACCCCTCCACATCACAGCTCTGGGTGACAGACCCGCCACCCACATCTGTGAAATCATTTCCCCTAAGGCTAGAACCAGACAGGGAGGGACCCACTCGCACTTGTTCTGTCCAGTAGTGGCAGTGGGTCCAGAACAGTCAGACAAGAGACAGAAATGAAAGGCTGACAAATGGAAAGGGGAAGTCCGTATGATTCTATAGGAAACCTAGACACTGTTCCTAGGGACTGTTAGAGCAGTGAACTGGGTCATGCTGCAGGACCCAACACAGAGACCTGTACCATGTCCCGCAGCACTGAGGAACTAAGCAGAAGAGTGCTCCTTCCCAGATACGCCTTCAAGGATTATCCAAGGTGAGCGCAAGCAAGGATCTAAAAGACCCCCAGGCAAAGTCACGGCAGGGTGACTCCAGCTCCTCAGTCATTCACGGCCCCAGTGTGTCCACACAGACACACACCCTCAGCAACTAAAGAGACCCTCAGGGCATAGCCAGTTAACTCACCACCTATAATGCCAGCCTTCCATGTGGGCACCTCTTTCTCCTCTCCTTCTCTAAATCTGCCTTCAAATGAAAAGACAAAAAGATCTTCCATTTGTCAGTTCACTCTCCAGATGGCCAAAGTGGCTGAAGTTGAGCTGATCTGAGGCTGGGAGCCAGGAGCTCCTTCTGGGTCTCCCCTCCTTTGTTGCTTTAGCAGACCAAAAACAGGAAGCTGGATCCAGGATAGGAACTGGTGCCCACAGGGGATGCCAGAGCCACCGGTCGAGGCTTGCCCTACTACACCACAGCACTGACCCCAATGAATCTTAATAAAAAGACATAATATTGATTGTTATGTAACAGCAGGTAATGGCAATTAAAAGGACACAAAGAGGTCTGTGGAGTACAGTGAGTTAAATTACAGCTGTCAGTGCTGATGACCCAGTACAAGCATCCATCTGAGCCGTAGCCACTCCACTCCTGAGTGTGCAGGGAAGAGGGTGCCAGCTGCTTGAGTCCTTGGGCCCCTCCCACCCACTTGGCAGATCAGATGGTGTTCCTGGCTTTTTTTTTTTTTTTTTTTTTGCACTGGAGTAATATTTATTTTTTCCTTTGGCAAAAAGTCAAGTGCTACATTTTTAAAAACAAAAAATCTCAAAACAATCAAACTCATTACCCATCGCAGAAGAGGGTCTTGGCACAAAACATCCTACTTGAGATTTTTTTTTTAAATACAAGTCAAATTAAAATGATAGAAGTTCTTTGAGAACTAAGAAATCTAGAGCCTGTAGCTTGATAATAGAAAAATAAAACAAGACAATTAAAAATTTTGTAGCATCCAGCATTTTGCTTAATTCCCTGTTATATTATAGCACCTGTTTCTCTAGATTAGAAGATGAGCAAACCTGTGGGGTTTGCTGTGTGCGGTGTCCCTGTCTCAGCCAGCTATCCGCTTCTCCACTCCCCTAGAGGCAAGAATAACTGGGAGAGTTAACACAGTCTGGGGGGCAGCACTAAGTGTCTTTTTCTTTCCCTGGGGCAAGCTGTTGAGAGAAGCAGGGTATGTGTGGGTGGGGACAGCTGTCCTCTTCCTCAGGATGCATAACAAATAAGGAGCAACCTGACACCCTGGGAGCCAGGTGCCCACCCAGTTTAAAACCTCACATGGAAACAGTTCAAGGAAGGAACACACCAGTAGTACTGATCACACTGAGGCTTTACCACAAGAACAAAGCTCCTGATTGAAGGCCACCCCATCACCAACCTAGCAACCAGAAAATGAATATTCTACGCATGAAGCACTCACAGGCAAGCCCCCTGCTCACCCCCACCCTTCTGGACTGGATCCAATTTAGAAAATGGCAGCAGAAGCCATCGGGGAGAATGACAAAGGATTCCCTTAAAGCTCATGGGCCTAGATGAATACTGGCTGAGCGCTGACCTCTAGCCCTGGCCCGTAAAATACAGGTCAGGTCCCACTGGAGAGCGGGGAGAGGGAGGCTGCTAGGGGGATTCTTTAAGTCCTGAGTCGCTCCCTGCAGTCTCAACAGCTGCCTCTGGATACAGACTCGGATATTTTGTGGGAGTAATCACCAGCTCAGTGGATGGGAAGCAGAAGTGACACCTGTATACAAGTGTCAACACCTGGGAGATTGTTTTGAGATTTTTCTGTTTTTAAAAATGTAGCACTTGACTTTTGGTCGTCGCATCATCCTGCTGGCTGAGGGCCGGCTGATCAACCTGGTTTGTGCCATGGGCTACCCCAGCTTTGTGATGAGCAACTCATTCACAAACCACAGATTGAGCTATGTACCCAGCCCGACAAGTATGCTGTTGGCATTCACTTCCTGCCTAACAAGTTGGATGAGGCAGTGGCTGAAGTCCACCTGAGCAAGCTGAACGTGAAGCTGACCAAGCTGACTGAGAAGCAGGCCCAGTACCTGGGCATGTCCTGTGAGAGCCCCTTCAAGCCTGACCATTACCGCTACTGACAGTCATGCCTTCCTTTCACCTCCTAGTGCCCAGGCCCTCTCTCCTCCTTAAGAACCAGTGACACCTTGTTTGCAGTCAGATTGTCAATGATGTCCCCCATTGGCTCCCTGGGGCTGCCCACTCAGTCTTGGGCCTCTGCCTCCCTCACTCCTCCTATTATCCCAAGTATGGCATAGGGAATTGAGAAGCTCCTCTTTAAGCCCTGGTCATGATGAAGATACCAGGGAGACATCTATACGGAACCGTGAACTCAAGGGTCTTAGAACTGATTAGTCAGGCCTTCAAAATTGGTGATGGTGGTTACAAGGCCCACGCACTTTACCAGAAAGGTCTTCACCTGGGCTATCGTGTTAGACCCACATGCTTAGCTGACAGGTTTACGGATTCCTCAGCCCATGGTAGAAGAAAAAGAACTGTATCAAAGAGCAAGGAGGAGCTGTGGAAACCTGAGTGTTTGAGAGCCTGGCTCAGTGCTGGACCATCTCAGAAACCTCAGAACAATGAATGAGCTTAGTCCTTTTTGGTCTTAATTTTATAGGGGTTAAAATAACTCCTGTAAGAGAGGGCCAGTGGTTGAGAGGGGCCAGAAAAACATAAAAGCAGGCATAGATCTGCCATCACTTTGTAATATGGTTCCTATCATAACCCTGGGTTACAATGTTTACATATACTGTATAAAGTGTTCAAAGAAAGCAGGAAGGTGGGTAAATAAAAATTCTGGTGCCTGATAAACAAATAAACAAAAGAAGATTTTTTTGTATAAACAAGTTTATTTGTAAATTTAGTCAACATACATAATTGACCTAAAAGCTTCAATAGAAGGATACATTTAAAAACCACTTGGAAGGCCATCTTTATAAAAGTGATTTTCCCAGACAGGACAGGACCCAGATGTTGCCTAACCAGACACCATCTTAACTGGCAGAGGTCCAGTGAGCAGGCGTTAAGGGCACCACCCCCACAGCAGCATACACAATGGGATTAGAATAGAAAACTCTACAACATAGCTTCCTCTTGGCCGAGGAGAGAAAACCTAATGACGAGACCAACCACAACATGATGCAAAGCTGCACTAACTAGCTCAGATTAGTAACAGATGATGCTGGTGCGAGTAACTTTATTCTAGAGCCCTTATAAATAAAACTTCCCCATTAGTGTTTGCATTATCAAGTAGAGGGTTACTTAGCATGTGGTAGAATGAGGATTTATGCAAGGTATAATGCACAAAGCATTTTACTACTAGGAAAACAAGTGCAGTCCAGTCAGGAAAGACCGACTGAACTCTACCTTAATGACAAGACTCCCCACCACTTGTGAATGCAAGACATTTCATTTAAAAATGTTGACACTACAATATATAAAATGACTATTATAAATGCACATAGTGTATTCTATCGCTGCCAGGTTTACATTTTTCCTTTTTTCTTGAAGGAAACTAAGTTACACTGTGATTAAGACTTGCATCTTCACCCTTGGAAGAGCCCACATTCTAGCACTGTGATATATGGTCAGACTTAGACCCAACTGTTAAACGCTTGGATCAAGTCATAACCAGTTTTATCGCAAAAGGACCCTGTACACATTTATCACTTCTAGTACCTTAATAGCTACCCAACTAGTCAGTAACATACAGAAACATACGCATCATGCGAAGCAGGAAGTTCAGCCATCCCTTCTAAGCATGAGCAGCGTGTCCCCCCAACCACAACCTGTGATGGAGGCCTGAGATCAGTCACTTCTCTCATTCATCCTGAGTGAAAGATGGAATGACTTAAGTACAAATGCAACATATTATAAACAATTTCTTACAAAAAAAGTCACAAATTAAAACAAAATATTTTACAGAATTTGCTATAAAACGCCATAAAAACCACCTGCACTCAAGCTCGCTCTCCCCGGATCCTGCGGGCCAGCTGGATGTCTTTGGGCATGATGGTCACTCTCTTGGCGTGGATGGCGCACAGGTTCGTGTCCTCGAACAGACCCACCAGGTACGCCTCGCTGGCCTCCTGCAGCGCGCCGATGGCTGCGCTCTGGAACCGCAGGTCCGACTTCAAGTCCTGTGCGATCTCCCGCACCAGCCGCTGGAAGGGCAGCTTCCGGATTAGCATCTCCGTTGACTTCTGGAAACGGCGGATCTCCTGGAGCGCCACAGTGCCGGGCCTGTAGCGAGGCTGAGGCTGCTTCACCCCGCCAGTCGAGGGGTTGCTTTTCCGGGCGGCTGTTTTGGCCAGCTGTTTGTGGAGGGCTTTGCCTGTAGTGGACTTATGCGCAGTCTGCTTGATCCGGGGGGCCACTGTCATCTCAGTTCCTTTGTGGGCTGCTGGAGCCTCGTCTGTCCTCTGGAGCAGTACTTGGCCACCGTGGGCGTGGGCCGCCTGGGTCTGGTGGGCTCCGCCTGGGTCTGGTGGGCTCCGATGAGCAACCTGGCCCCCCAGGTGCTGCACGGTGAGGCGCTGGTCAGCGAGGCCAAATCCTTTTTTGATGCCGCCTCGCTGTGCTGCCTCAATTCGTCCCTGGATTGCGTGCCCTACGCGCGGGCCCTGACCCCGGCCACGGCGCTGGACCTGGTTCGCTGATTTGACGTGGTGGCCGGCTGCTCCGACAACGTGCCCACTTGTTACCTGGTGAACGACACTTGCGTGCTGGCCAGCCGGCTGCTGGTGTCGGCCAGCGCCCTGCGCTTCCAGGGCCAGATCACCCTGTACCACTATGCCGGCTGGCCTTGCTACAGCTGCGTCTTCCCGCAGCCTCCCCTGGCCAAGACCCTGACCAACTGCACCAATGGCGGAGTGCTCAGCGTGGTCACCAGGGTGCTGGGCTGCCTGCGGGCGCTGGAGGTGCTGAAGATCGCCACGGGCCTGGGCCCCTCTGACAGCGGCATCCTGTTGCTTTTTGACGCTCTTAGAGGACATTTCTGCTGAATTCAGCTGCGGAGATGCCCGCCCGACTGTGCTGCATGTGGGGGGCAGCCCACCTTGACTGCCGTGCAGGCAGGACTACTAAGCCTTCTGTGGCCACCGACAGGTGCCGCTCCCTGCAGTTACTGAGCCCAGAGGAGCGGATCTCGGTCACCAACTATAAAGGGCTTCTAGACTCCGGGCGCCACACTTGCTGCTGGCCGTGAGGCCGCAAGTGGAGGTGGACATCTCTGGCCTGGGGTGCCTGGCAGTTCAGGATGTTGTAGGGGGTCTCATGGCCTGGGCTGCCAAGGTTGATGGCTCGTTCCCCCAGTGCTGAGGTGCGGGCCCTGGCACGTGAGTGTTCAGGCGCGTCTGAGGTCCTACAGCAGCCCACTGGTCTTTCTGGCCGCAGCTGATCAGATGGTCACGTGGTCATCACGTTGTTACTGAGAGCCTTCTTGTGCCTTCAGCACCTGGGCGATATCGCAGACAAGCACAGGTGCATGTAGGATGATAGGGATCTCCCGATTCCCTTCTCTCTCTCAGTGAGAAAGCTCTCCAAATTGTCTCTCTGGCACCTGGAATTAAGTTGGAGTAAGCTCAGTCTCACCGAGTTGATCACAGATGATCTTCCTGGTGGGGTGAGCTTATTGCTTAGTAAGAGGCTCTGCATCTTGTTTCTGACTCAGATGACAGCTGCGTGTTCCTTTGTCAGGAATCCATGTGAAACAGATCTCTCCAGTTTAGCAAATTAAAGAAAGCCGTCCGTGTAGGCTGTCAGTATCAAGTGTCACTATCAGTAAAAAAAAAAAAAAAAAAAAAAAAAAAAGGAGCCCTCGAAGGCTAGGCCTGCCTTGACCTCCTGGCCACAGTTAGGGACGAAAAATCGGCCCTGGGATGCTGGGGAGACTCAGTGCAGCCCCTGTGGAAGAAGTGTAGCTCAAGTTTGCCACATGGACTTCAATGTGATCGCGCTTTTTGTGAAGTGCTTGTTAATAATGGAAGAACACAGCACACTCATGTGCTCTGATTGTAAGTTTGCTTCACCTGTAATTATGAACTCAATAGATGAATATATTAAAGAAGACTCTTTTATAGGTAAGTTGCGACCTAAAATATTAAATAAATGTTCTCATGACTTTAAAAAGAATGCAGATGAGCTGACTGTTGGTATTGAGGCAGAATATTCAATTTCTGTACCCAGGACTCTTATGAACTCATTGGCTGTGACACTGGAGACTAAAACTACTGAAGAAATTAATAAAGCATTGAAGGTAGCAGGATATAATGTGGAGCAACTGAGTACTGCTCTGTAAGTGCTTGAATATATACAGAATCAAACTAAAGAGGAGAACAACAGTCTTATACAAGTTATGGGAAAACAGTTTGATCAACTGTTTGCTTCTCTTGATTCCAGGAAAAAGGAACAGTGTGAAGAACTTGTAAGAAATACAGATGACTATTTAGCAAATTTGATAATGGCTAAAAGCCACATTGGGGAGAAGAAAAAAGATCTGGATGCAGCCATGAAGATTGCAGGAGAGTTAAAACCAGTACCTTCTCTGAGGAATCAGATTATTCGGACTTTGAAGTTAATGTTGACAGTGAATTTTCACAAGTTAGTTCTCCAAAACTGAAGAACTCTCCTAGATTGATTATGAATTGCAGTGAGATTATCTATATGTTGAGCAACATAGGAAAGATTGAATTTGAGAACTCAACAAAATACCATGCACATGAAAATGAAACCATACAGAATGTTCAAAGGAAATAAAATAAAAAGGAATTTTGTTGTCCTGATACATACTCCTCACCTGAAAAGAAAAAGGCTGACATGTCTCGCCTAAGCAGTGATGCCCTAGAGACCAATAGCATGCGTTTAGAGCTCAGAAACACGCAGCTACACAGGGAGATTGTAACAGTGACACCCCCTAAGACCATCGCTGTGCTGCCTCAAATGGGATCTAGTCCTGATGTAATCATTGAGGAATTTACTGAAGAAAACCTGGAAACTCGCTCTGCAGATGGTCTTGTGGTGGATGCTGGAGAATTAAATTCTATCCCAGGCACAGCAGAGAGAAGGAGAGATGCACCAGTCCCTGTGCCAGACTCAGGACCCCAAATGCAACAAGCAGGCTGCTTCTAGCCCAAGGTTGCCCAGTCTGAGGGACCACAGCAGAGGAGCTACTTTCAGCTTCTGGCACATGCACACTGGCTGGCTCCCTGACCTCTAAGCACCTGCTGGCCCTGGGGGACCCTAGCCATGGCAAAGCCATGTTCTTGCAGGTGTTTCCCAAGGGACCATGATGGACTCAGGTGAATCCTCTCTCTCCTGCTCTACTGCAATTGCAATTCACTGTCATTTAGTTTCTCACCTTAAAATGTTTGCTTAGTGAGACAAGCCCATACCCCTAAAAAATTATCATGTGTTTCTCCTAGTCTGTGATAGTTAATATTGAATACAAAAATTATGTAGAAATAGAAATATCATGTTGAGATTTGATCGTTGTTTCTACTCCTGGGAAAATGCAATTTCTCTAAATTTTTACTTGTTGAATATGATGGTTTATGATACACAAGGCTTGTGCCTAGTCAGTTGTAGTTAATGCTTTTAAACTGTAAGTTGCAATAATTTATTACATATTTCAAACCAGAATTATAATTATTTTCAATACTTATATGGGATAGTATATAAGAAGATGGAAAGGCAATTGCCATGACTTGATTATTACACATTGTTCACACATATCAATTATCATACTATATACTCTAAATAAGTAAAGACATTTCCTGTAGTTTAAAATAAATGAATTTAAATAGATAAAAATGTATTTAAAAACAAAATAAAATCTTATACTACCTAGTGCTGGAGTCCAGCTCCAGTTGAGTTCGGAACTCAAGAAGGGTGCGTGGATGAGGTGTAAAGAGGAAAGAAAGATGGACCACTAGGATTACATGATCATAATGGACAATGTGGGAAAGTTGTCTGCTTTATTTATACAAAATCAGTCAAACTCTGGCTCAGACTTTTTACGTCATGGTCAAATTGGGAATTTCTAAGGATAATTCTGCCATTAGTTTTACCTTGACACAATAGAAGTTCCTGCTACAATTCTTATCCTACAATGCAATCTTGTATCACAAAGAAAAGGGGAATCTAGAGAATGAGGAAAGAATGAAAGCCTAAATATAGGTCCCTTGATTAGCATGAGGTCAATGTCAATGGGGACAGCCAAGACAGTAGGAATAATAGAAGGCCCTTTTGTAAGATGCTATCACCGCCATTAACCTCCAAGCTCATACTGAGCAAAAGGCCAGCTCCACAGTAGCAAACAATGCTTGGATGGATTAGAATTTCCCGGCAGGGTGGTCTGGTGTCCATGCAAAAGAAGATGGAGCTGCATTCAGGTGGCTGCAGAGATGTCTGTGGGGGTCCCTTCCAAACAGCGGGAAGTTCCCTGTGGCCCTACCTGCCATGGAACAATACTCTTCACATGTCCGTGTCCCCTACATCCACTGCACGGACCCCAACAATCCAGTTATTTTATTTTAACAGGATAGTTATGATTTTGTTAACCAATACTCTATTAACCCTGACAAACTCATCACTGCGTATATCTAGCCACATGTGTTCCCCATATACTTACATTATCGGCTTATTTGTGCTATTGCTTAACAGGGGGCCTACATTGAAATATGGTAGAGAGAATACAAATGGATCAGTGATTCAATAAAATGTCATCTCTAACATTTGATCAACAAATTTCAGAAAGTCTAACTATTCCTCTTGGATTTTCTCATTCAGGTATTGCGTTGCTGGATGTGTTTTCTCTTTACCAAACACAGGGAATAGGAAAGCTTGAGAGTATTCATTCTGAAAGTTTAATTTATTTGGAGGCCTGCAGTTTAATTCATACCATGAATAAGGTCAAATAGAAATTCAAGAAAATCAGTGCCTGCCCAACAGTGTTAAAATTCCAATTTTGTAAAAAGCTTTTTCTTTTTTTTTTTCTTATTTTATTAATGTTTTTGTAAGTTTTCTATTTTTCTTCCTGTGGTTGATTTTATTTTATGGATTTTCATTTAAGAGGAAGCTCAGTAAATATATTAGAGACTGTCATACTGATATCTGAAGTACAATACAATATGCATATCTACTTCCAAATGAAGGATTGATTCCCAATCAAGCTGGTAAATGTATCTTGAAAATAGGATGCTGGACCATGTGCCATTGCCCAACCTTACACTATTAGGATATGATTAAATAGCAGAATGATAGACTTATGAATTTTTTGAGGGACTATACTATTGTAATAATTTAGGGGAATTCAGTGAGTGTGGGGAGCAGGGTGCCGAAGCTGCTCCCAGGAGTAGGAAAGGCCATCACAGGATGGCGGTTG